GGGGCCGGGCCGGGGCCCGAGCTGGGGCCCCTGGCGTCCTGCTCACCAATAAACGACTCGGACCGCGACAGCCATGACCCGCGAGCGCAGCATCCGCGGGACCGCGGACGCCGACCGGCCTCGGCCTGGGACGCGCGGCCTCTGAGCTCTGCGCCCGCGCGCGCGGCCCCGCGCTCCGCGTTCCACGGCGCGCACCACCGTCGGGGGCGCGGGGGGAGAAGGGCTCGCAGCGCGGGAGAAGGACTCGCCCTTGGGCCCCGCAGCCCGCCCCTCGGAGACAGTCCCCCGCCCAGGCACCCCTCCTCTCCCCGCGGCGGGCCAGGGGGCGTCCCGACAGAGGCGGCCTCCAGAGAAGCCCCGCGCGTCCCCTCCCGGATCCCCCCTTCGGGCCGGAATGGTACGGCCCCAGGGGGCGTGGCTCCGGGCCAACCGCTCCCGGCTGGAGACTGGTTGCTAAGGCGGGTGGTCGTTGCGCAGCGCGGCCGGGAGGGGGCGGGGTGCGGCTCTTGAGCCCCTTCCCTTCCCAGGACTGGGCCGGAAGCCCGGGGCCGAGCGGGTGCGGGGCACGCAGGCCCCAGTGAGCGCGCCGGGGACCCCCAACATCGCCGCTGCAGCCCCTCCTTTTGCGCCTTCCAGCCCTCTGGAGGGGAGCGGTTGGCAAAAAACACTGGAAGCTGGCAGCCGAGATAAAGGGCTAGGGCGCGGACGCGTCTCTCTGAGCCTCGGTTTCCCCGTCTGGAAGACGGGCGTGATGGCCTTCAAGGACTATAAATATACTGCTCACCTGCCTGCCGTCCTAGTTCTGGGGAGACAGTGATAGGAAATAGAGCAGGTCCTTGCCCTCGTGGGAATGGTCAGGCCGGTGGGGATAAGGTACAGGAAGCAACGTGAAAATAGTTCTTCCCACCGGGGCTCGATGTGAGCATTAAATGCGTGGAAAGGACTAGAATGGCGTCTGGCACCTGAGGACAGAGGGCTCAATAAAAATTAGCTCTGTCCAAGGTCTTGCTGCCCCAGCTTCTGTCTTCTCCCCGGTCCTCACCTGCCATAGCCCTGACATCTCAGGGCAGATGGTAGACAAGGGTCAAGCTCCACTCCACCTGTTCTGCTGGCTGTGCCCTCTGACCCTGGTGGGCTCAGAGCCCTTAACACAGGGTTGGGGCAGACAGTGTCCCATAAGTGAAGGTCTCGGCTGCCAAAGCGGCCAGAACAAAGACCCAAACCTTAGCCTTATCTGCTCTCTGCCCCTGCCTGAACCCGTTGTCCCTCGCCTCAGTGCCCTAGCCCCTCGGAACCACTGGGGTCTTGTCAGGGACCTCGCCCACTGTCCTGCCTCTGGGACTCTGCACACGCTC